TTCTGGTTAAGCCAGTTGAACTAGTTGGACCGGCTAGGCCTCTAAGCCAGTTGAACTAGAAGGATTTATTTATTAAAAATATTAATATTTAATAACAGTATTAATTTTTTTAACAAATAATAAAATTTAAATTATAATATTGATTGTTATAAATTAAAATTAGAATCTTGATAAAGGTAAATTAAAACTATTATCTTAATTAATTATTATATGTGACATAGAATTTAAACTTTAAAATCAAAATATTGCAAAAAAAAAACAAAAATATATATACTATATTTAATATTTTTCAAAAGTTTAGGGGACAACTTGTTAATAGCTAAAAAGAATTCCGTTAGTAGTTAACAGAATGTTAGTCAAGTAGATCATTTTGAAATAAAATTGATAGTTTATAAATCATTTTGAAAAAAACAATATTTTTAAATTAAACTGAAATTAATCATATAGTTAATAAACTATTTATTAAATTTAATCGTTCTAAAAACCTATAAAGGTTAGGCCATCTTTACCTCGTTTTTTCCCCCCTAAATCATACAACCCCTATTTCAGGAATTAGTCCAAAAAACAAGAGTTTAGCCTTATTTTTTATAAAAAAAAAAAATAATAATGGTTTGGACTTTGGATGGTCTCACAAGATTTTAAGGATTTCTGTTGAGGCAGTGGAAGTAACTAACGGTTAGATTTAAGTTAGGTGATTTAGTAAAGGTTAAGGATTATCTTTTCCTAGAAGCCTCATTCCTGTATTTCCCTCAAAATAAAAGGTTAGGGATTATTTGTTCAAAATAGAAGGTTGGCTTAATATTCGGTATTTATGATAAAAATGAGAGACTAAATCCTGTATTTACCTCGAATTTTTTGACTTAATAGATATCAACTTGATCATACTCTTATTGGTGTGAACAACCTTAGATGTAGAGCTATTATGTAAATATACTGGAAATTAACCATGAAAATCAAAGTTCAAAGATTAACTACTATATTATTTTCTTGCACTAAACAAATACAAAGTTCAACATTTTGAACCTCATCGTTCTTATTGGTTACAATCAAATTGGTCTTTATTTAACTTTTACTAGAAGCCTTATTCATTTCTGGGTTTGCACTTCCATGATAAGCCTTATTGCATCTCGTAGGCCCACCTTCCTTGAACACTCAGTTCACCCTGCAACACAACAACAGACATTTAATTATTAAAATTTAATTTTTATCAAGTTCTTAAGCTTTGTAATCAAAATTGTATCATACTATAAAACATGTATTATTGGTTAGGAAAGGAAAACCTTCAATATCAAAAGACTTATCACATCTCATGGTTTAAGTTGTGTAGTTTGAATTGCATAACACTTCTTTACAATGACAAAAAAAAAAAAAAGAAAGAAAAAGAAACATATGAAATCTTACTTTGAGCAGTCAAGATCAGTGGTAAGACGGTAGGGACAATGAGTCCCACATATATCAGGCAGCTCATTGACCTTGGTGTAGTTGAGTCCAGGGATCCTTGCAGCACCTTCTTTAACACACTGACACTGGCTCCTGTGATCCGCTGTGGTGTTAGCAGCAGCGTTGAGTGCCTTCATGCCGGAACAACACTCAGGCGCCACCTTCCCCCCAAAAATCCCATAGCTAATGCAGGGGGTCAACCAGATTACAACCTGTTCACAAGATATTGTAGCATTAATATGAGGCGTAGCCACCAGCATGGCCACCACCACTGCCACGAGAACCGCTGTAGCGCACCTTGCCATTTCTTTATGCTCTACCTTTGTTGTGGTGTGTTCTACTAAACAAGGTTGTGGCCTTTATATAGAGCATTTGGGCAGAGTTTTGGTAAACTATGGTAGGCAGAAAATTGTGAATAAAGCCATGAAGAAATTTCCACTGATATGAAGTTGTGTTTTTTGGTACTTGGAAAAATAATCAAAAGGGGAAGATTTGTCAATGATCCTAAGGAGAGTCCAAAACAATCATTGTTATTTGGGCAAAGAAAGGCATTCCGTAAGCTGTTGGTGCTGACTAATATGAGATAGTGCCGGGTGTTCAAGATTGAGTAAACCCCCAAACCAATTTAGGCCGTGGTTCCGGGAGGATTGGATGCTTGAAAATTCAGCCTGCAACTGTTAAGCAAATAGTAACCTAGGACAGGTGTATGTTTTGCTGTACATTGGAAAGCTAGATGTTCAATAATTGTGTTCAATAATTGTGTTCAATAATTGTAGACATTTGGAACTCCGATATTGAGTTCGAAGTAAGAGGTAAGGTTTTATAATTAGGAAATATTAACTTGGTTAAACTCTTAGATTAAAATCTACTTGCAAGTCTAATTGTTTTCTAAAGTTTTGAGGTTTGGAAAATAAAACTACAGTATCACATTTTTTTTAGATAGATAA